GTCCAGGGGACTCTTGGACCCAGAGTCACTGACATAGCCACAGAGGACTAGCGTGGAGAGTGAAGCATCCAGCTGATAAGATGAGAGGGCACATGCATAAGTAGACCAACACTTGCAGATAATACCCACTTGACCTGGCTTCAATGGCTGGATGATCAGAGCTCAACCAGAAGAAGAAAGAAGAGGGAAAAAGAATAATCTGATACAATTTGATGAACTTGATATACACCTATGGAAGGAGTAGCTCAAAAGAATGAACGAATCTTCACATCGAGGATCATTCCCACCTCCTCCACACATGGAAAGGACAGAGGTGGGCAACTTGGGCATTGGCTACCCAGAATGGGGGGGGCTACAGAAGCAAGAAGCGACTGGCTTACAGCTTTCAAGAGGGAACCTAGATCCAGAGGGCATGGAGCAAGGTAGAATCTCCACTGAATACTATCCTTCTGCCTAGTCAGGGCTGGTGAAAGGAGATGCAGTTAGGTCTCTTGCACTACAATAGCGAATAATTGTTATCAGGACTGACTGTAAGGGCTGGAAATGTAAAGGCAGATGTTTGGGGGCAAAGGGAGGGGAGTGATTTATCTTGCTGTCTAGGAGTAGAGGTCTCTGGGACCATCAAAGGAGAAGAGTGGAGAACATAACCCTTCCCAGAGAAGCAGTGATGCCAGGGATGGAGGCAGCGATGATGACGTGGGGAGATGGAGTGGCTGGAGACTTTGGACCCAGAGAGGGAGAGGGGTGGTATGCAGACAACCGGGGGGAGGGGGCGGGGGCAGGCTTGCAGGGTATACCCTTTGGTTGATGGATGATGCATGGAAGGGATTGTAACCATGGGAAGGAAACATATACGACAGAATCAATGTGAAGCTGATGTCCTCCCATGTAAACTATCACATAATTCACAATAAAGCATTTAAAACAACAACAACAAAAAAACACAGAGGGAATAGAAGCAAATATTGTTGACTGATGATGCAGAAGGGATTGTAATCATTGTAATGAGATGATGAGCATAAAATTGATGTTCTCCCATGTAAACTATCACTCAAGTCACAATGTTGTTGTTGTTGTTATGTGCCATGGAGTCAGTTCTGACTC